TACTATGATATTTCTTGTCTAGGGAATTAGGTATGACAGTTGTGGAAAACTTGGAAAATATTCTCTTTGACTTGGTACAGTCAGTGTGTACACATACAAGAATAGGCATGCTTTTTAAATGTGTCTCTGCTTACAGTATTGCTTTCTGCCTTTACACATTAAACTGAAGAACCAGAATTAAAAAAGAAACAATGAATTTATTTTTCTTTTGGATATTTCTTCTCACAGATTGTTTCCATCATAAACTTCTCATATGCTTCTCTCCATTGGACCACAGTTGTCTTACCCCACTGGAAATGCAATGATTGTATTTAGCGTGACAGGGCTCTGGCTCTACTTAAAGTCTGAAAAAGGCATAAACTCTACAACGTTGTCTAGAACTGCAGTCAGAAATGTATCCAAAGCATTCCAATAATGATTCCCATCAAGGAATTAAGTTGATTCTTACAGTGAAATTTTCTTCTTTTGCTGTCACTATAATTTTGGTGTGCCCCAGATAATAAACTTGTATTTAAAAAAAAATGAGATATTAAACCACAGAACACTTCCTTTTGTAACTGATAAATATGTAAATTGCATCTTACAAGATGCAATTTACAAGAATAAGAGTTAAAATCACCACTGCTTTTGTATTTAAATTTGTTGCTAACATTCAAGAAAGGTAACTGTGATAGGGTCAATTGCAGTGGTCCTCTGGTAGCAATGTCTAGGGTCTGCTGGTGGCACACCTTCTGCAGTTATTAAAATGCGTTATTCACATTTGTTCCAAGCAAGGCTTCTCAACACCTGGAGTGTGTGAAATAATTCTGCATAAGTACTGTGAGTTGCTTTGCTGATAATAGTTCATTTTTTCAGAAAGCCAGAGACACATCCTTTGGTCTAAAAATCGCCTCCTCAGCCCTAATTGCTTCAGCAATACATGCATTGCAAATGTCTTTGTTGACAGAAACACTAAAGCTGTGGGCATGAAAGGTGTTTGGTGCCAGACCCAGGGTTAGAAACAGAGCATTGTGAAAAGTGTTTTCATTTTCTTTATATTCGTTGTTCAGCAAAAAGTTTCTGTGATAATGATAATGCAACACTTTCTGTGACATTAGAAACTGAGAACTCTGACATGAGGGCTCTGTGTACTAGAATTAACTCAAATTTGTCTTTCATTCTCTAATAATGCAATTTTAAAATTAATTATAAAATGAAACTTCTTGAGGAGAAAAAGCGATAAATTGCGTTTTTACCAGTTTCAACATTTGTTTCATTCTTTTGTAATGAAACAGGTGCTCTGATATGGAGAAGGTATGGTTGCAGTGTTTCAGCTGAAGGGCAGTACTGAAGAGCACAACATGGCAACCTCTTCAGCTGATTCAGTATAAGCTGCAAATCATTTAAAAGAAAATAAAAATGAGACAGCCTGGTTTAGTTTTTTTGGGGTTTTCTTTTGTTGTGGTGGTTTTTTTTTGGTTTTTTTTTTTTTTTTTGGGGTTTTTTTTGCTAAGAGGCAGACTGTTAATTTCAAAAACTTGGATCCTGTTCCTTTTATACTATAACTTTGTCTTTATTTGGGCTGTGCAGGGGACAAATTTCAGTTGTCAGTTCTGCATCCTGAATTGCAAAATGTCTCCTGGGACTTATAACAACCTTGTTTATATTTGAAACTGCAGCTTCTGCTAGGAAATGAAGCCATTTCATCTTTGGTAGCAAGTGTTTACAGTGTCAGTTAGAAGGATTTTTAACTAAGGAATTATTTTGCTGTCTAATTGCATAATTTCTTGTTTGTTATTCATTAGTGCAGATATTTACTTCCCATTTTTCTATTTCAGTTGTCCCATATGTCTGATGGAGTAAAAATTGTTTAATATTTGCTTTCTGAAGTATTTTTATTCTGTTCAGCTGAAACATCAACACAGATGTTCTTTTCTCTCTAATTAGCATATGTTTATATTTCTGTTAAATTAAGGAACTGCAACAGTGTGTATATAAATAGCACACAGCAAGTGTTAATGACAAACTGGCTTGTCCTCTGAACGTTACCTTAGCCTGCAATAATTGCAAAATTATATGAGATTAGGTTCTGAATCCAATCCAAGTTCTGCTCAGTCTTTTAGTATGTTCATATGAAAGGTAGTTCAGTTTATTCCTGTTTAAATAGTTTACTGCTAGCTGTGTGTGTGTCCAGAAATCTGGCTTGGTCTTTGGCAGTCAGGGCAAAGGAGGGTGACTTTGTTGCCATTTGTGTAATTTCTTGTTTCTTGGGTGCCTGTAACTAGAGTTGGTTTGGTTTTTATTTTTCCAAAATGAGCTAGCGTTTTCCACATTTCTTATTCACCTGAAGACTACTACACATATTCTTTATCCCATGGGGGTAAGGTGAATTTGGAACAAGCCTGCTCTTTTTGGCCTTTCACTAATGCATGCTGCTTAAGGAACAAACTCATGCAAACTCTTGTTTTTTGGAGTTTCTTAATGGTGCACTAGAGCCTTCTGAATATCTTTGGTCTCTTCCTTCCTTTCTATTATATTGTGACTTCTCAGTGGAGTAGTTAAGACCTAGAGGAATCGTAACTTGTCATGAAGTAGGAATGCAGAGGGATTGGGAGAATTTTGCTGCAGCTACTGTTGCCAACCAAAGATTTTATGTGGTACACCACAGCCTCTGTGAAAGCACACAATGTACCCTCTGAAGCAGTTCAGTCTAGAAGTTAGGCAATGTTAACTTGTTTATAATAGCTAAAATCTGGTGGGAATGCCTTTTGGCTTTTAAATACTGCATGCACCTTTTAAAAAATATATGATGTTCTGAAATTGAAGTATACTTAAATAAAAGGAAATATGCGGAGAGTGTGGCAAGATGCACAGATAAAAATGAAGAAGGGTGAGATGTGGTCACGGCACAACTCCCATTGACTTCACTGGGTTACTTTGGTGACTGTAGTTTGTTGTTTTTTTTTTTTAGTTAGAGTAGCCACTTTGTATAATATTAAGGATGTTTTACATTGATTCAGTATGTTGATATATTTCATCATCTTTGTACTTGCCACAGCTGGCTGGAGTCCCACTCTGCACTGAAACAGGATACGCAATCTGCTTGGGATTGGTGCAGAAACTGTGTGCAGACATCTGCCAGCCATCTTCAGCTCTCTTAGGAAAGGAAGCTGCTTTCAGCATGGGTGTTTTGTGCTTGACATTAGAAATATTCCTGTTTATTCACCCATTTATGATCTGACTGAAAGTAGCAGGAAACATATGTGAATAAAACTGTCTGTCCACTAGGGGATTCTTAGCCTGTTTCTGGTTACTTTTAATGTCACTGTTAAAGTTTCTGAACTTGAATATTTCCCCCCAAATGGGTATGCCCTATAAGTTCCTGCAAGAACCTGTGAGCAGAATTTCATCCCCTTTCACAGGAGTGGAGAGCTGTTTCAGGTGACAGTTTTCAGAAACTATTGTGAAAGGTGTTAAGTGTGTTGCAGCTTCTTATTACACCTCTGTAAAACTGTAGATTCTTCTGAAGAAGATTCATGAGGAGGCGTGTGGCAGAGCTCTAACAGAGCTGGCTCTTCTGTGTGGGAGTCAAGTCTGCAGTAGAATATAGGTAGTTCTATTTTTGTCTCCTCTGCAGTATTTTTTCCTCTGCTCTCATGGTGAGAACTCTCCTTCTGTAATTTCATTATACATGTGTGATTCTCCATTCTTACAAATGTAGTCAGAGGAGAGACTGTGGTCCCATTTTAAGAAGCTTAAACAGTTTGCTATTCTGCAGCTGGCAGTTACCATCACTCAGCTAGAACTTACAGTCATAAATGTCATAACTTGCAGCTCTGAAGGCTCCTATTCTTTTTCAGTGCCAAGTGAAACAGATTAGTGAAACTCAGATTGGTTTAATCTAATCTCTTTAATCTTTCTTTGGGTTATATTTATCTTCTTTACACTGGTGTGGACTACTAGATGCATTCATGCTGTCAGGGTGAGAATCTCAGCAGAGGGATAGTGTCTTGTTAAACAGCTTTTGGCTGGTCTATGATTGAGCTTTTCTTTCTGCTGTTTCCTTTTTCTTTGCAACCTGTAGCACTCTCACTGGCATTCTGAGCTTCCTGCAGCCACTCCTTGCAGGAGGGATAAGAATTTTTGCATGTGAGCTGTCACCTTGGTCTGCATCTACATTACCATTTCAGACCAGACCTAGAATGTACTTTTGAAGGCTATTTCCTTACTGCAGTTCAGTACATACTCAGGATGAGAGTGAAGTGGGTGTTCCCCAGCAGCCCACCTAATTCGTGCTCTTTGATAACTCCTTCCCTGGGACTAGGTTAGACCTGGACTGAAATATCAGTTCATAAAACGCTTTTATAGCACGGACCAGGGTGTTGGCAGCACCTAATTCACTGTCATCATTTCCCACAGCTTGCTGATGCAAACATCCTTCAACAGAGTTACAGATCAGTTTTATCTCCAGCTGAATTCTGATTCCATCTGGCTCTCTTTTTGTAACTTCAGTCGAATGTGATCAGCAAGTATTTTGTAACACACAAGGCTGTGCCCAAATTCCATCTGATAGTTACAGGATGTGTCCTATGACCACCAAGAATTAACTTTGCCTATTAAGTGCAAGACAACTTCCTAGCATTGACATTGCAATACCTTTGTGAACTAAAAAAGCTGGAAAAACTTGTGTTAATTAAAGGATGCATAGCATGTGACATAAGTCTAGGGACACAATCCTATTTCTGGTTATTTCTAGTAAGAGATAAGTATTTTGTATATATACAAAATAAATATTTTGTAAATATTTTGCAAATATAAAATAAATATTTTGTATAGATATAAAATAAAATACATGTAATCAACTTGTGTTCAGAATTTTCTGAAATAGATTGAAGTTGTATTTACCTATGAAGGCATATGGAGAGTATTTTAACCATTTTGGCAAGTTATCTTTTCTGTCTTTATAACTCTTAAATATGTACATCTGTATTATGTCTTAATATTATATTTGTTTACTGCAGGGAGTTGGGAAAAACAAGGTTGTTGACAGATTCCTTCACCTTTTAAACAGACCCAGAGAATATTTACAGCTGCATAGGTAAGAATGTGTTAGATTTCCATAATTTTTTGTTTTAATCAAATTTCTCATGCTATTAAAACTCATGTTTCTGAAATTAATGTGTTTTTACTGTGTGAACAAAGGCCCCCTAAGCAGCACACAGACCACAAGAACGTGTCTGGCAGAGGCAATAAGCTGACAGATTGAGGAGTGGGTACAAAAATGTGATGCAATCATCTTGTTTGATACATGAGGAAGTAGAAGTGTGCTGATGCTAAACTTTGTTCAAGAAACAAGTTCTATTTTGCTGTCATTTCTGGAAAGATTTCCCTAGCATGAAGTATTTTATGAGGGAAAAGTTGTTTGAATATATCACTCATCAGACAAGAAACATTCTACATAGTAAAGGTTTTTTGACTTTTTTCCTTTGGCACTCCTGCTAAGTGCATGTATTTCTTTCTCACCCATAAGAGTTTGGATTAGAAAATTACATCATAAGCTAAAAGTCAGACTTCAAGACAACAACCCAACTGAAAACAATTCAAAAGCTGAAATAATAGGAAATTATCTGCCTGCTTTTTATAACATGCACTTGAAACTCATAAATGCAAATAAAGAATAAATATGTCTAGAAGGCTCATTTTCAATTGAACTGAATCCTATTTCAGATTTGTTCCTAATCTTTATCTCTTTGTCTTCAACTTCCTAGCTCCATCACCCTGTCTCTTTCCATAATCACTGTTTTTTAAATAGTGCTAATGGAAATGTCGATCTTTGGTATTTTGCCCATTAACAACATAGTCTCTGTAACACTTTCTCTCTCACTTTCTCACCCAGATTTTTGTCTTCAAACGTCTTATACTTGTATTCCTGATACTTGGGTAGCTCTATCTCATTACTTTTCTACTGCTGTTTTCCTTTATACTACTTTTTCTAGACTTCTATCACTTCTATATGAAATACTGCTTTTGTGACCTCCTGCTTTCAGCTTTGTGTTAACTTTCCTGCTTGGAACAGCTACCCACTTTGTCTGGATAAAATACACTGTGATTTTTGCAAATCCCAATTATGTCACAAAGTACTGCACTATTTCTGTCCTTTTGTGTGTTCTCCAGTGATGAAGCAGAACAGTGTTTGATATGAATTCATATAGCTCAGGAGAACATTGTATGAGCACCATGTTTGGGGTTTTCATGCAGCTGTAGAATGTATAAATTACAGCATGCTAGTTGAGACATGACTAGGAAGAAAAATGTGCATTTATTGTCTTGCCAGTACAGTGTTCTACAGTCTCTATAGCGTACTGCTTATGATTACAGGGGTTTGGAGAGACGTTGAAGTAGAAAATGAAGCAGAAAATGATGAGCAGTCCTAAGCAATTATACAAAAATAATTTGTGAATATAGCAAAATCAGAAATTTCTATTTCCTGGGTAGTATTTTGAAATGCTATGTGAAGAACTCAGTCTATATAATATTTTGGTTATACTTTACAGGGTGTTTAAACAAGGATTAGAGTATTGTTAGTGCACTCTTCTGGATTCAAAACAAAGTAAGAGCAAGTTTACAAAAAACCCAAACAGTTTCTAGTAAGCTTTTACATACTTTGTGGGGGAGATTCAGTCAGTAGTTTATGGCATAGATGTACTTTATTAGAAAATATCCTACAATGTGCACTTCATCTTTAATAACCCTCTATGTTTCTTCAGATTTCCTAGCTAGCTACCATAAGTACCTTTAAGCATTCTAAGGGAAGTATTTCTAAATATAATGCTTTTAACAGTGCTTGTATACCTGAATTACAGGTCTTGACAAGTTCGTTAGGGTGGGGTTTTTGTTGGTTTGGGGCTTTTTTACAGTCTTGATGAAAGAGTGTAAGGAATTCTGCTATTCTAACTCTACATATGTTCAATGACATTCAAGCAGGGAGCATTTACTTTAGAGGCAATAAGCTATTACCAGGAGTAATTTTAAAATCTCACATTTTATATCTTGTACTTCAAGAGGATGAGAGGAGATAAAAGGCAGAAAAAGGGACACCTGTATTTGCTTGCTCTGCAACTGATTCACATGGGAAGGGTCAGCCTGACCTAAAGGTTTTGATTGCTTATGGAGGCTATAAATCCTTTCTCTTAACATTTCCTATAGCATCTCATTGAGAAGTTTTATATTCTTGCAATTTTTAAGTTTTATCAATCATTTCAATACCAAAAGCAGAAAATCCTAATGGAAGGAAGCTGCAATTAGATTCAGTAATGACAGAAATTAAGAAAAATGTGTGCTTATGAATTTTTCAAAAAGTTGACTGCTTTCTCTTGCATACTTTGTAATATTAGCAGCTGATCAGGAGTTGACCAGCTCTCTCATTGCATTAATTGTGGGGTTATGGAAAGAGGCAATATGGCATAGGCTCAGCACAGCCTCTTCCTCAGACTGCACTTATGCAGCATTTTGCTGCTTTTCTGTGTTAAGGAAGAATTTCCATCTGCCAGGATTTCCCTCTCCCTCCTTTCCTACAAGAGTAAGTTTCAGCAGAGAAATCCCAAATTTTCTTTACCCTCCTAGTATGGTTGTCTCCATTTTGTTCACCCGGGACAATGGCTACGTGTTACAGTATAAACAAAAGCTTTATTTTGTCTAGTATCAAAGAACTTTTAACAGTTCTTATAGAAATTAAACATGTACTGATTTTACAGGCAGTAACTAAGAAACTATACTAGCTAGCTGTAAGAAAATTTTATGTTCTTCAAGCTAATGTAATAAGTATTTGTGTTGCTCCTAAATTAATGTACTCTGGAAAACCTCATTATTTTATGAACCTTCTGTTACTACTTTTGCTGTCTCTCCTGTGAGTGATGTGGAAAGAATTTTCCAGTGGTTCTACACAAAAATCTGAAGTTAAATTTGGTAGACTAATTTAGTATTTTATTAAATCAGGGAAATAATTTTAATGGAAACTGATAATCATAGAATCATGGAATGTGCTGAGTTGGAAGGGAATCACTAGGATCCTCAAAGTCCAGCTGCTGGCCCTACACAGGACCAAGAGTCACACCATGTGCCTGAGAGCATCATCCAAATGCTTCTTGAACTCAGGCACGCTGTGACCACTTTCATGAGGAAGCTGTTCCAGTGCCCAACCACCCTTTGGGTGAAGAAACTTTTTCTAATATCCAAACTAAACCTCCCTTGACAGAGCTTCCTGGGGTCACCAGTCACCACAGAGAAGAGTTAAGTGCGTGCTCCTCTGCTTCCCCTCATGATGATACCTTGCTTTATTATTCTTTATTGTATATTTATGTTTCATTATATTGTGCTTTTTTTATTCCCTCATGATGTCTTGCTTAGAATTTCAAAATCTCTAAAACCAAAAAGATTCCACAGAAATAAGAAAAAAAAAGTAAAACTTTAGAGAAGACTCAGGGAAAAAAATATGCCCTGTTAAGATTGTAAAATTGTTCTTAGCACTGATGAGAGCAATAGATAAGTATAAAACTGTGAGCTTCCAGCTCTCCTACATAAAAATGTCAGAAGAAAGTGTCATGGACTCTAAATTGTTGTCTCCTTTGATATGATCAAAGAAAAAAGAGATTAATTTTACTTCTCTTATCATCAAATTGCTAACTAATTTTACACAAAGAATGATTTTGCTGGAGCAAGATGTTCTTTATCTGTCATTTAAACATTTAAGTTTGCTTCTATTTGGAATTAAGAGATACTCTCAAGCTGTTTTTTATATTTCAATTAGAATTATTTCTCCTCCTTGAAATTACTGTTTTTGTGATGACTATATGTACAGAACTGCAGCATTTATCCTTCTGTTTTCAAGCTTGATTGAAATCAAGCTTGATTTATTGTTCCAGTTTGGGGATTTTGGAAGGGTTTTTTTTTTGTTTGTTTGTTTGGGGTTTTTTTTTTGGTTTTGTGGGGACTTTGGGGATGGTGAAAAGACTTTTGATAGAAAGTTTCCTAAAAGCCTAGGTTCTGACTAGGAAGGTTTAAACTTTAATGACACAATTTTTATGGTAGTTTCTGGAGTTTTTTGAAGTCATATGTTGTTATCTGATCTTAGCTTTCATCAAAATACACTGCTATGCTTTATACAAAAGCATAAAAAATAAAATAAATATTTAAATATAGTTTATTCTCATATACTAATTTAGGCAGCTTAAAACAACTGGAAAAAAATATTGGGGAGAACAAGACCTGGGAAAGCTGTCACCACTGTTTTGCTGGTGTTAGATTTGCTTTAAGTCACATAGCCAAAAAGAGCTACTGGTAACATGAAATCTCTGAAATTACCATCTGCCATCATGAATTGTGCTCTTAATTGCTCTGATAGCAAACAAAAACCTCTCTGTCTTGATAATGCCTTTACAAAAAGTTAATTGCAGAACATCTGTGTTCTAAGAAACGTGTTTGTTAGGTTCAGGAAGGCATGAAGTTCATTTTTGTATGTCAAAACATTTTCTTTAAAGTTGTGTACATTGTGCTCCTTGATTTTTTGAGATATTCAAAATCTGGATGCTGGACACTGTCTTGGGTACCTTGACTCTACATGGCCCTCTTTAGCAGAGGGGTTGGACTAGATGACCTCCAGAGGTGCCTTCCAACCTCAACCATTCTGATTCTGTCATTTAGCAATTTCTGCAAGGTAGCAGCTGGATGACCCCTAGCTCTTGTTCTAGATATGTTGTAGTAATGTTGTAGTCTTAAAAAAAAAAAAAAAAAAAAAAAAAGTTAAAATGAGTTTATCTTAGCTTCATAAAATCTTATAATCCAGCAGTGGTTGTTGAATGGGAGGGAAGCCATTTGCATCCTTAGGTGATGCTCAAATGTGTTAGTAGGAACAGTAGTTAAAGTTGTGAGAATTAAGAAACAGCTTCAGACTCAACATTGTTTCCAGAATTTGGTAATTAGATCTCGAATTTACCAAATTTACCAAATTAAATCTAGAATTTACCAAATTTACAATTAAATTTGGTAAATTCTAGATAATTTATTTATTGTTATGATACACATGTAAATAAAGAGTGGTTG